GCTTTGACAAGGACGTGCGCAGAATGCTTTACAGAATCCTAAAATCCCCCAGTCGATTGTAATTGCATGCTACCAATGCTCAGTGCTTCTGCTGACTGAATTGTCTCTGATATTTCCATCATTCCGGAGCACAGACATTTTGTCAAAACAATTCATGAGATTCTGTTAAATGTCACAGAATAATGTGTTTCATTCCAATGACATAATCATTATAATGCCAAGCTGTGTGCTAAGGTGGAGCTGAGCGTGAAAGCTGTGGGGAGAGTATGCTGTTAACCGAAGCAGTTCTTCAGCTGCACACATTCATGAATCCTACCATCATGAGAAATCACATTCACTCAGCTTCAGCTTGCAAATACGAAGCTTTAAATCAGCTTGATACTGTAAGATCTTAGAGCTCTGACGCTACAGAGGGGCGCTTAGTACCACTGACTGTAAATATTGTACAAGGATTTCTATAGTGCATGTGTTGCAGTAGTGCTGTGTTTCAAAATCAACCCTGACACACAGTATACAATCTCACAACAGTCAGACCCTTCCTCCTTGTATTCTCAAAGTTATTTTCTGTTATAGATTTAAACAAGCAATGTCGTGATAAGAAATAATGCCTTCCGTTTCCCCTTTTGTTTTTGACAAAGAGTTAATTGTTACTGGTGTGTATGAGACTTTTGATTTTTTTTTTAAACGTTCAAAATCCAATATAATCAATAACATCTGGCAAATAAGCAATATACAGTAGATGTTACGCTAACCCATTCTTGGTTAAGTCTGTCCATTATCTGTGCCATTTCTATCATGTTTGTTAAACTTACAGTAGATCCCGTTTTGACTGCCATCATTCTTGGTTTCTGTCTTTGCATTTCTGTGTCAAATAAATGTGCGGGTTATTATTTCCATCCCAGTGTTTATGCCAAAGGCAGCAATAAAAAATGAAATCTCACGAGGGATTTGCCACAAAAAAGATTTAAAAATAGATCTAAATATATTGATGTAGCTCAGCTGTAAGGAATATGTGTGAGGTATAAAATAATACAGGTTTTTTTTTATTAACATGTATAAATGCGGTGTATTCAACTCAAACAGATGTAAAAAGCAAATTGGTAGAGTGTATCTTCTCTGTGTTTAGTGTGTGTGACACAGATTGCTGTTATGACCGTAGGGAGGTCCGTTTTATTTCGGGGGTGTGCTGGTCTGGCAGTGGTAGCCAAAGTGGACCACTGGTTCCTATTATCCACAGTGATACGAGCAGTAGCCTTTTGCAACCTCGCTGTAAACATTTTTACAGCCCTAGCTTAATTGAAATGTCACATCCACTGTAGCAATATACAGTCGACTTCCCTGCGAATTAAAATGGAATTAGGCTGGCAGATGTGGCCTTAATGGCTTAATCATGCCTTTACGTTTGCTCCAGTAAAATGCGACCACAGATGAATATTGTTTCAACTCTCACATCCATGAGTAATGCCTAGAAAACCATTTGAAATGTAGATTTGGAGACAGCTGCTCAGGGTACATTATAACTGGTCCATGAAGCATTATCATCTGACAAAAAGTCAGAAAATATCCTATGCAGGAAGCAGGCAGGTAAACATACCATTACATTCAGTGAAATGACCAGGCTCACCAGTTAAGTACTCTGTTGGACTCCCTTCACAGCTGCAGCTGAACTGCATGCTCTCAATGCTTAACGTCAACATTTAGTTTATCTCTGTGGTCTATCTCCAACTGCTCATTCCTTGCAAACATGCAATAACATTAAATACACAACTTACATATCTTCCCTATAGTACTTTGTTTTCAGTGTTTTGTATTAGTATACATGTGTTATGTATTGCTTAGACATTGATTTTCCTGTAGGGTCAAATGTGTATGTCCTAATCATCTTTGGCAAATACAAAAACATGATGTATAATACTAAGTATTACTTGTATGATAGATCCATAATGAAGAGTTATTTTTTAAATGTTTAGTGAAATAAGAGCAGTTTCTCTGAAAGAGCTTATGAGGTTGAGACTTAAGTCATGAAACCATTATAATACTATTTTGTGTGTACTGCTTGAGTAAAAAAGCAAGACATGAACTCAGTATTTTAAGTTTAAGCTACAGACAGATGCTTTGCAGGGGTAAGAATTTCGATCTGGGTTGCGCCGTGGGAAACGGTTCAATTTCTTCAGGCGATGTGTGTACATGATTACCTTTCTTAGTCTCTCAGAGGGCCATACCGGCCTCTCCTGTCTATACGCAGTGTGGTAGTACAGCAGCATCATCATATCGACTGCACATCCATATAGCGAATCTCTCGGTCCACTACATCCCAAAGGTGCTCTATAGGATTTAGATCTGGTGACTGTGGAGGCCATTTGGTGAAGTGAACTCATGCCATGTTCAAGAAACCAGTTGGAGATCATTTGAGCTTTGGGACATGGCGCGTTACCCTGCTAGAAGTAGCCATCATAAAGGGATGGACACAGTAAGCAACAATACTCAGGTAGTCTGTGGCCTTTAAAGGATGCTCAATGATATATGTTCGTCATTCCTACCTTATAGCTGAATAAAAACCTCCATGTGGATGAATCATCATTAAATTAACTGACACATATTGAAAAGGAGAAAGTTCCATTAGCACGCACCATTTGTAAATGTCTCGAATAAAAGCAGGCTCAATTGAGCAGCTTTTTGAAGGCATACAAATAACAGACAATTATCAATATCCCTTACTTGAAAAATGTGTCCATAGTCTCTTGATTTATAGTATTTCAACCCACCATCATACTCATGTCTATTATGAGCAAGTGAAAAAGGTTGGAGGGGGCAAGCTTGCTTCTAAATGGAGGACGATGTTTCAGCAAGATCTTTTTTGATTAAAGACAACTAACGCCTCTCAGTCTTCCCTCATTACCTAAACCCTGCATGAGATTTCCATGTAGCCCTCTAGATTGGTATACCTAGAGTATGTTTATCTTTCCTCTCCACCACCACACTACAGCCTTTCCCCCTGAAAGTGTAATACTGAGAATGAATGTGGAGAGACTAAATTAAGGGACCCAATTTGAAGCGGCACCACTTCACTGATAAGCTGTACCAGTGATCTGTGAGAGCACTCAGGGTCTGCTACATTATGACAATACAGAAGAATAAAGCAGATGAAAGAGAATAGCCTGGCAAGAGCAGAAATCAGATGGGCAGAGGGAAGGGGAAACACAATCTAAAGTCTAATTGTGTTATGCCTCACGGCAGCAAGGGAGTTCAGAGAGATACATTTTCTTTGCACACGTCGTTCAGCACAGTCCCTTCCCCGATGTGATCACATTCATTTCCAACCGGGCGCGGTGTTTCTTTTCACATTTTCACTGGGTGCGTCGATTGAAAAAAAAGTGACATGAAAAGCAAATGGGGAAAAACGTAAGCAGACCTATTAGGGTTGACCAGAAACATGCAGCACTGGCATTTGAGGCCGGGCATTTAAGCATGTTGGTTAGATGTGTCTGACACTCTACAGTCACTCTGTGTCATCCCTGCCCTTTGGGAAGAAATGTCACTTTGATGCCTCTAAGCATTGGGAGGCGATGAGGTGATTCAGTTAAATAAACTATTTTTATTTTCCTTTGTCCTTGTTTTTCTTGAAAATATATAAATGAGGTAAGACAGCCGGCTCATGGTGTAATATCTTGTGTCCCATATTTCTGTTTTGAGCAGTTTATGAAGAAGTAGATATTTTCTGCAAACAACTATCTCGATTGAATAAAACACTTAAACATTATAGTATATTTCTCAGACTATTATAAGTGAGGTAAATTCCTTCATCTTCTTTGATGTAAGTAAACATATCTTGTATTATTTTATAATGGCCACAATTGTATTATTATTATCTTTTCTTTATTCCTTCCACTTGCTGCAGTGCCTTTTCCAAAAATACTGCGTAGTCTGACCCAGAAGAGTAATCTGACATGTATCATCCATTACCCTGCTCACCATACTAATCACATAGTTACAAATATAGCATTTACCACATGTGTTGTGAGAAATTCCAGGCGGTGCAATGTTAAAAAAATCGAATTTGAATGATAGTTGAGAATAATAAACATGTTAATTTTCTGTGATGTATTATAAATTAGGGGGTAATTGGGCTTTCACTGTCATGGGACCTAAGCACTGGAACAGATGGTTCAATGACATCAGGCTTGCTAGCTGATAATCCATTTTTAAATACATTTTACTTTTCTCTCCAGGCCTGCAAACTCCAGGGGGGGGGGAAGAGGTGACGGTACTGAAAAGAGGGCCAAACTCACACTGTATCTTGACAACTAGCCAGACAAAGGAAAATCAATTGAAGAGGAGTGACACACGTTATTGTTTATTCCCTGCACACATAATCAGATGGATTTGTGTTGGCATTATACGAAATATTCACAATACTTCTTGTTGCTTGTAGTTTGTAACAGCTATGTACTAAAACCCACACAGACACCCACACTGGAGAGCCTCTCATAGTAGAGATGCTCATCTAGCTGCAACACAGGTGGCACCCACACAGGCTCTCTCATGTCCTGCTAGCTACTGCCAAAGCTCCAAGAGACTCTCTGTATTCCCAGCAGAGTCAAAATGACTCTAATGGCTGGTTAGCTTCTAGCACATGTCATTGATTTAATTTAAAATCTGAAAACTATGGCTCAGCGGTTTAACAGAAAAACAGTACTTATCGTTCTTTGCCTTGCATTTAACATTCCATTTAATTCACATTGTCCTATTAAAGTCCTGGCAACCCACCTAACAGATATGTTTAGATTGAGTTTTACATAGTTATATACAGTTATGCAGTTATAAGTACTCGGGATGCTGGGATTTCTGTAGAATGCCATGGTTTGTGTGGCCCTTTTGGCCATATTTAATTAAATATTGTACTATTCATAACTGACCTTTTCATCCAAACCAGACTTTAAGAACTGAAATAAAAAGGGTACAGCAGTAACACAATTATAAGAACATTTATACTGACATACCTGCTACCCAATGTCAGATGTCCATACACTGTCAGAGAAGCAAGGGAGTCCTTTAGAAAAGCTCCAGTGGGACTTTATTCACAGCTCACTTATTCCGGGGTCTGCGAGAAAAACAAAGAAACACAAATCAGAGCAGACATGGAGAGTGAGCTCAGGAGTCAGCCACTACAAATGCCCAGCGATCCACGATAAACATCCTGGAAGAAATGTCACTCCAAGGAAGAACATTAGCGAAGCCGCACCGGGCTAGCAGGCAGGAAAAGACCTGTATGACACAGGCACAGAATCTTTCTCCTTGCTTGGTCAACTTGATCATTGTTCTGCCTAAACAGCTGCCTGAGAATGGCTCATTACACCAGCATTTGGATCGGGGGAAGACAAGCGAGTAACATATGCAGGGCTCATGCCATTCAGAGGAGGGGTGCAGACTTGGACAGTGGATGTCCTCGGCTGATTGACACATCCTTAAAATGGCAACTGGCAATAGTTTAAAAGCAATACGTTAGATCAACTGACACTTATCTACAGACGGGCATTAATGGCGGTCATGGCAATTTAAATGTGCCTGTGCTTGCTATGGTTCTCTGATGAAAGTATTGTTCATGGAGTAAAAGACAGAAGCACATAAACTGGTAACTGAATGCAAAATATCTACAGAATACGTGAAGCAAGGATTTACTGGTTCTTGTTAACACGTATATATCTAACCAATGAGCTGCACTCTTGATCTGTGAAAGTATTTAGGCTCGTCTCTCAAGCTGCCAAAACTACATAGACACTATAATGTGAAAAAACAATTCAAAGCAATACATTTGAAGTGATAATGTGCTATTGCTGTGCATGTTTGCGTCTAATATCTGCGCTGGAAAGGAAATATAATCTACCTTGAAGGAAGCAAATGTTTAGTGATGAAACCCAATCCATGGCAGTTGATGGTAAAAGCAGTACCACTTTACAATAAGACTACCTGTAAGAAGGATTCATAAAGGGTTTACAATTAGGTTATTAATTAGTTTGTAAACACTTGATTAATCATTAAAAACCATTTATAAACCAGTTCTAACATAGTTTTCACACATCAACACAGGCTCACTATTTGGTAAGATGACTAAGCCTTATATTGGCTACTTAGCGAGAATCAACTCAGTGAGCAACAGATACCAAGGATGCTGGCTGATGAAGAAGACAAAGTAAGCTAGGTAGCCAATATAAGGCTTAGCAGTACAGATAAATGTGGGCTCACTATTTGGCAAGCAACCGGTCACAGTTGCCCTGTTTATCTCATGTCTTATAAAAGCTTGTTAATGATTTATAAAGTGTTCACAAACTAATTAATAAATGAATTACAAATTATTCGTAAACCCTTTATAAGGGTAGTCTTATTGTAAAGTGGTACCGCAAAAGCATACTGAATACTAAGATGCTGAAGACAAGGATAGCAATATGACTGTGATGGGTAGGTAGAATTTCAACGCATATGATGGCTGAGTGTTCTTTCTTAGAGTGTAATGAGAGCCGTCGGCTAAAATATTTTGTTGGTCTGTTGTTGCCAACGTGGCCGGCCAGAACCGACTGCGTGCTGGCACCATTCATGTTCAAAATGATGTGTCCACTGGGTTGTGAAAGCTAACCGATTAATACATTACATTGACTGGAAGAGTTCTGGACTGTGCGGCAACTCAAAACACATGATGAAGCAAAAACTAGTATTTGATAATGCAGTGTAGTGCTGAGTGGGACAAACGCTTTGATGTCACTGAACCTTTCAAATAATAAGTGCCCCATCAGCTCAAACCAGGGATTAGTTCTGTTAAAGATTGTACTAGAACAATTTAGAAATATTATTTTGCTGATTCACCATGTCTGTCTGTCCGTGTGTTTTTTTGTCTCTCGTTATGTAAGTATTGTTTTCCTGTTGATGTGTTTTTGTCAACACTAAACAATATGTGACCTTCCTTCACATACAACTCTTGACACTTTACCTCAGCCACAACGCAAACTCTATAGGCATTACATTAATGCACACAATGTTCAAATATTGTTCAAATGTTGCTTACTGCGCATATTTCATATTCTATAATTCACTGCATTCTATTTCGCTGTAAATTACTGCTTTATTTTATAGTTATCTATCTATATTTGTTTACAGTCTTCTTAATATAGTTCCCATCTGTGCATTTTTTTTAAAACGTGTAGCTTTATATGTTATGCCTGCACCATGACAGCAAGTCAAATTCCTCGTACGTGTGAACCTACCTGGCAATAAACCTGTTTCTGATTCTGAACTCAAGATGTCCATGTCTTCATAAAAAATAACAGAGTGAAGTCCATGAGATGAAAACATAACAGATCAAGCCACTCCCATCCAAACTTAAACTGGATATATATGAGGTTATGAAACTTTTGGAATATGTATGCCTCAGAAACCCCAGTGCCAGCAGAAATGTATTCACTATATCAAGGTTCAGCAGTACCAGCTTGCACAGTGATTCCCCTCGCTAAGCCACATTTGAGCCACTTAAATAAGCCATATCTACTGCAGCTCCGAATTTAGTATACTTTCACATGTGATATGTTTTCCTTCAACTCAAATTGTTTGATGCACACCCCTGGACGTGCGAGCAGTGGCTGCTGACACCTAAGAAATGCTCACCTCTTCCCCCGACTTACCACGCTGCTATTTTCATCCCACCCACCGATCAGCCTAATCCACTGTTGGAGGATTTGTGCGCTGCGGTACAGAGCAATTGTGCTGCGGCAAAATGAGCGAGGCTTAATTGGAGCAAAGACTTAATGAGGATCCCTTGAGGATTATCATCTGTGGCTTAGAAATGGCCCAGGTAGCGGAAGACACGGTCAAAAGGATCAGCTAACAGCTTTCTAAATTGGAGTGACAGTGCTGAGCTGCACTGTGCCAACAAATCTTTACTTTTTTTCAGGGGGGTCCTTAAAGAGAGGTGAACTAAAGCGGAAATCTCCGAGGAAAATATGTCTGCAGGTCCAAACAGCCTTCAGCTGCAGCAGGATGAAAGTGATGGAGCACTTAGTTCTGTCTCTAGATGTGTTCCTATGTTCTGCTGTGTTTACGCTTGAATTGATTGTAAATCAATACTTTTTTTTTTAACTACATTAACTATTTAATATTTTGTTGTGATGACTGAAACAATTGTGTAATTCAATGTGTCTTACAGCTTTCTTTAATATAATAGGAGGCACAACCCCATGGGAACATGATGAAATCAGTGCACATTTTTATGATATATTTTATAAATTATTTTGTTTTGGATGATTCAATTAATGTCAACAAGATGTCAGAAATGTTAAAAAGTGTGATTTCACAATCAGGTTATATCATCAACATATTTTTGTTTGACTGAAAGTATAAAATATTAAACATGTCCGTTCAATATTGCGTATAAAGAAGGACATGATGACATTTCACAATTTGGAACTGTTTGAGAAATGAAAAGAACAAACATCTCTTTATTATTATAATATATGTTGATTACTTTGTTGACAGTCGACTCATCCAATAGAGACTTTTGTAGTCTGAATAGTTTTAAAATATTTTGTTATGGGAAGTTTGCTGATTTCTACTAAGAAGTAAGCACTAAAGTAGTGAGGGAAAGGGTCCAGAGGTGAAGTGAACCTTTCACTCGCTCTCCAAGCAGTCTATTTCTCTGAAAACCCCATCTTCACTTGACAGCCACAGATCAGAGATGAGTGACCAAGTTGAATGCTTAGGCTCTAAAGTCAGATCAATTCAATCTAGAAACTGTCCTCGCCAGGAACAAAAGGCCACTCTGTCAACAAGGCTCAACTCACTTCAATGCGTATTCACTGTCTTTTTGTCCTTGTTACGTAAATACTTGACGCTTTCAAAGTCCTATTTTTATAAAAGTTTAACAGGTAGAATTCTCAAATTCTAAAGCAGTTCAGTTTATTTAAATCATGTCGATTTTTCACTTGTTTTTTTATGTTTCGATATTTTTTGTTCACCTTTCACTTCAGCCCTACTGGCTATAAAGGTTTGGTGCCTTTCAATCTCTGGCTTGTTAATGTAAGCCTATGAAGAACACATTCCCCAGTTGGACTTGTGACGATACTTCACATCCTCCGTCATGAATTATTCCACATTTCAATTCTGTGGGTTTCAATGTCTGAACCCCGACTGAAGAAAGGTCTGGAGTCATCACCGCAGCAGCGTTACTCAGCCCACACCCAGCAGCCATTTCATTAAGTAGCTAAAAGTGAAGGGCAAGTCGAAGGCTGTGCATTCAGCTCACTTGATGACACAAACATGCAGAAGCAGGCTTTTAGGCACAAAGCATTGATCCGAAGCTCAATGAAGTTACATGCACAATGAACATTAGCACTACTGACAATTATGTATTTATGTATGTCCATCTATGTTCTTGAATTGATTGAAAATACTTTTCAAATTTAAAATCAGCATTTTTTTAATAGATTTGATTGTGGGTGCATGCTTAGTGAGAATAGGAGTTATTCGTGCAATTTAATTGAACAGTTATCAGATGTTGGGGAAACTGTACGTAGATGTGACTAAGTTGATACAAATCTGTATTCGAATAAATGCAGTTTCCCCTTAAAATGTTTGCTTTCGGACAGTTTTATTGATTTACATGTTGGTATAAAGTATAAAATGCATTATTGATTCAATTCATATAATGTCTCTCTTGCTTTAGAGTGACTGAAATGTAGAGCTATAAAATTGAATATTATGGTTAGTAAAGTAGTACAATGTTACAATGACATTTGTGTTTGTTTTTCTTCCTTTGTTTGTTTGTGTTCCTTTGTTAGTGAAATTGTTCTACTTCAAAGATGGGGATCGTAAATTGAATGCATTTTAATTGGTACTTTCACACTCCAATCTTAAACTATGGAAATATTTAAAGATGTATTGTTTTGAAAAAAAGAAATGTCATTGTAGATTACATTCCAATGGAATTAATTTGCATTACTAAAACAGAAAAAACTGCCTGGTGCGGTTGATGTAAATGTCAACATTCTGCATATATTGGCTCTTTATTGGAAAGTGTATCTCAGCTTCATGTACATGTAGAAACGCTGCCAGCCTCCT